CATGCTACTCTCCCTGAGGTCGCTTGATGCCATTGAAGGGTGGTTTGGGGGCTAATGCTAGTGCTGCGAGCACACTTGCCAATGCAACTCCTAAAGACTGCCAGGATGGACTGCTACGCTACATCTGCTGTCAGAAGAGGCTGGGCGTCTCCTTCCTCTCATGTATGAATTTTTTCTTTTTTTTTTTCCCGGTTAAGGAGCCTTGAGTGCATTTTGTCGTTATTTCCTGATGCGTTTTTCACTTATTCTAGTCAAAGATTTGAGCTTTTGCGAATGAAATGCCGCGATTTTTGGTCTTAAGGCAACTGTAGGTTTAATTTGTGGTTCGGTGTCGTTGTTTGGCTCATACGAGTTGCAGTTTCTTTTTTAATATTGTTTTTTCAAAGACACAGTGTAAAGATGGACGTAAAGCACAAAAGAAGTATTTTGATCCGCTGTGATCTAATAGTGGAAGCCTGCCACACTGACGTGATGGAAGAGTGGTACCCATCAGAGCTGAGGCTGAGTGCTTTTTGGATCTGGGCCATTCTCTGAGTGCTCTTGTCTCATTTGTCTGTGTTGAGCAAGTGGCTTATATAGCATTGCAGTGTCGATAGGCATTCCAACCTCGTGGCCTTACAAAACGGTTCAAATACCAAGACGTTAGTACTTATCTTTAGCGCTCAGTGAGAGCGACTGCCCGGAATAACTGATTCTGCTGACTCATTAGTTGTCTGCCGTTCGCGAATGGGCTTGGTAATTAGTGGTCACCTTGTGACGTGGGAGTAGTGTTTGTTTCTGCGCTGTGGATGAAAAATGCAGAGCAATTTGCTCGCACGGCAAAACAATTCAGACGTTAAGGTTTGCGGGTGTGCTTTAAACTCGCTGAACGTTGCGGCGGGCCGCTGTTTACGGAGAGCTCTGACAGTTGCCTTCTGTGGATGAACACAAGGAGAAGAGTATTGATGGGATTGGAAAGACATGCGGCTGAACTGAGCGCGCTCAGATCAGACAGCTGAGTTGATTAGTGTGTAGCTCTTCCAGATGGCTCAGTTCGAACTTAATATTCTCATGTGTAGTCTAGAGTATGAGAACCGATTACATGTCCAAGCCCACTTAATCCAATAAATGTATGCATCTGTGTCTTTTGGGAGGATTTCACTCGGAGCTTTGCAAGCTCTTCACCATACAGTGTGCGTCCATAAGTATTTGGTCATTGACAGTTGTTGATTTAGGTCTTTGCTCCAGCATGTTGGAATTGAACAGCCGATGAAGTGCAAAGTGATTTTAATCTGCTTTAGGTGAGGAGTGTAGGAATCTCTTTATGCACAACCTATTTATTCAAGGGGGTCATAATTAATTGGACATTTGACTGCTTAGTTGTTTCTTGACTGCTGTGTCGTTCTGTTGTCATTAAGATAAACTGTTAAATAGATCAGTCTGATCAAGTTTGTCAAACACTGTCATAAAGGGAAGACGACACCAGCTTTACCTCAAAGTTTAGCACAATAGAAACAGCTGGTAAGCGTCAGATATCAAAGAGCTTATCGCTGTTGTTGGAGGAAAACCTCGTATCTCCAAAATGGTGACTTTACAGGAGAAGGAAAAAACCTGCTTTACTTTTAATGTAAGTCAATGGAACCAGAGTTTTTTCCGAGTCGTTTTGGGCCGTTTGTTTTGGTCCGTTCATCATGAAATTTACGCACAATGTAAAGACCAACAGGCATTTTCAAATTATGTCAAAAACTGAAAAATGACAAAACAAAAAGACAAAAAGAGTCTAAACTTGGTGACATGGACATGACTGACTGTGGAACTGGTTATCGTCTAGCCCTGGGCAATATTTACTATTAGTATGAAATTTTTCGTTAAAAAAATTATTGTTGATCATAACGCTGCTCTCTGGGAGACGCAGTAGAGATAATGGAAATGTTTCCTTACAGTAGCCCTATGGATTATTAATGCCCTGTAATATTTCGTTTTAACAGTAAAAAGAGAAAAACAGTGCAAGCTGTTCAAAAATTAAATGAGTCCTGTTTAGTTCTCTGTCAGTTCTCTTTCCCAAAACGACAATTGTCTCTTGTGAAGTGTCGTCATTGGGTTATTTACTGATATTTAATGACGTGGCCTAATATCACCCCAGTCTTTATTAACGCTGTGAAGCAAGATACACTAAATTGCTCAGATCCAACCGAATGCCTTCACCTTATATCAAGACAGTGACCTGAAACACACTGCTGTGGAGTGTTTCGGGGCTGAGAAGTGGAGTGTTCTTGATTGCAGAGTGAGTCACCCGAGCTGAACTCCACTGAGCATGCATTCCACGTAGTGAAAACAAGCCTGAAAGCAAAAAGCCCCCAAAGCAATCAGGACCTGAGAATGGCCTTACAGGCCTGGCAGAGCATCACCTGGGAAGATAGCCAGAGTCCGGTGATGACTGTGGGCTGCAGAATTTGGACAGTCAGTGATTGCAGGGGATTGTCAACCAAGTGTCAATCAAGATGTTTTTCTTTGTGTGTACATGTTAGTTTGCTTTTTTTATTTGTTAATTTGTCAGATCATTTATAGTCCCCTGAATTTGGGTCTGTTTATAAAAAAGCACTATGATTCGTATGTTTTACCCAATATGAATGTAAATGGTGTTGCAGTAAAGCTAATACTGTGCACTTTAACCTCATGGTCCATTGTTTAGTTGCATACCGCACTGTTACATCTGTGCTGCAGTGATGTTGCTACTTCTGTAGCAGGTAAAGTCTTCATGAGATGATCAACCCACAAGCATAACCAGAACCAGGTCGACACTCTCTGGTCCAATAGAAGAAGCAGTGGAGGGATCCAACACTGGCTTGTTGTGCAGGTGTTATTGGGCCGTATTTGTGTTTTCCGACAGGTACAAGGGTCACAGAGGTCTTTTTTCCCCCCAAAGAGGCCTTGTCCGACATTGTGAGGAGACCAAACAGGAAATGGCAGAGGTCGCGTGTAGTCTGCTAATGAAGTGTGGAAAGAGCCTCACCTCCAGACTCAGTACACAGACCTCTCTCACCTGTTCAATACAGCATTGATCCGGTGTTGGGGTACAAGGCCGGCCTGTGATCGTGTTCAGCTTTTATTAGCCCCGCTACCCCTCGTATCTCCGGCTCTGCTTTCCGACATGCTCCAAACACCAAATCACCGCAGCCTTTCAGTAGTGGAGCCGTAGATGTGAAGTGAATATGTCACTTATTTTTTTGTTTGATAGCAACACGACTGGCTAAGGCTACATTCACGTTACAAGTTTCATTATTTAGATCAGTTTTTTGCTCAAATCCGATCTCTCTGATATGATGGTTCACACTCGTTTAGGTAAGTGATTCAAATCTGTCATTAATGTGATGAACCGGCGTCCTGAAATGATCTTCATGAGCTCATCCTACTCAGTAACGTCACGTGAATGAATCACGTTCATCATCAGCACAAACTAACGAGCAGAACGAGCTTCGCTGAGAAGATAATTAACTCTGATCAGCTCTCAGCTTCATTATTAGAGCGAGACGAAGGAGAAAAAGGTGAGATGAGCTGCTTTTCCACCGTTTACAGGCTTCAACTTCTGTTTGGCGCTGTTGCCATGGTAACGCTGAATGATGGTCACGCGCAGTGGGAAAAAAAAGCACATGAATTCTGATCTGAGCGTCACATTAAGGTCGCATGGCCATGAATCGGATACGTATCCAACCTAGGACCACATATGAAAGTGGCTCAGGTCGGATTTGAAAAGATCAGATTTGTGTCCACACAGCCCTGAAAACATCAGATCTGAGACACATTAGGGTAAAAAATCAGATTTGTGCCATTTCAACCTGGTAATGTGAACGTAGCCTTGCATGTGTGGTCCTAGATCAGATACGTATCCGATTCGTGGCCATGCGACCTTAATGTGACGCTCAGATCGGAATTCATGTGCTTTTTTTCCACTGCGCGTGACCATCATTCAGCGTTACCACGGCAGCAGCGCCGAACAGAAGTTAAAGCCTGTAAACGGTGGAAAAGCAGCTCATCTCACCTTTTTCTCCTTCGTCTCGCTCTAATAATGAAGCTGAGAGCTGATCAGAGTTAATGATCTTCTCAGCGAAGCTCGTTCTGCTCGTTAGTTTGTGCTGATGATGAACGTGATTCATTCACGTGACGTTACTGAGTAGGATGTGCTCATGCGGGTCATTTCAGGACGCTGGTTCGTCACATTAATAACAGATTTTAACCACTTACCTAAACGAGTGTGAACCATCATGTCAGAGAGATCGGATTTGAGCTGTGAGGCTTGTAATGTGAACGTAGCTCAAGTGGCTCAGGTTGGATTTGAAATCGGATTAGTGCAACTTCAACCGGGTAATGTGAACGTAGCCGAAAGCTGTCATGGGGAACATAAGTACTTCTGCAACAAAGCACGACTGCGTGCATCATTGAGGTAGATTTAGTCTAATTGTAGAGCCTGAAACAGCTTCATAAGCTGCATAGTAACTAGTTAAATGAGAGCCAATTATGATCTTATTTTAGCCATTTATTTTCATGAATTGTTCGTTCTTTACTCCACTGTAACTTTTTGCTAGCGAAAAACTAAACATTTAATGTAGCATGAAAAAGTCCTGACATATCACAGTGCTGTGTTTTAGCCATATCACCCACCTCTCCTTTAGGTCCTTTCAGCTCACTTTACTGTGGATAGAAACTGGGCATTTTGGGCAGCACTGAAAGCCAGTCTATTTCAGAGAATGGTGTGATGAATTATTCGTCTGTCTGACACTCTGCATTCTTCTGTTGCTTCCATATCAGTGACCCTTATGTCAAGATCGAACAAGCATTGGTGATTCTTTTTATAAATAAAAGCTCTCCCGCTCTCTCGGACTGGATGTCCTCTTTCTCCCTGCCTCTCTGAGTCACATTTACGTGTCACTGTCTCTGAAACCTCCCGCTCTGCATAATTCATTGGTTTATAGCCCTCTTTGTCCTTAAGGTAATGTTAAATTCAGATTTTCCTCTCTGTCCAGGTCCCACGTTGCCAAGACAGAACCCTCAGGTGCAGAATGGCCCTTCGCCAGAGGAGCTGGAAATGCAAAGAAGGTGAGTGACAAACTTGAAAAGACTTTCGGCAGAATGCTAATGTGACCAGTACAACTGTACAATATTACGTTTAATTGTTTTTAGGATATTGGTCAATATGCAATACTGTTGTTGCAGAAAACTCCAGGATGCAAATGAGCCCTCTAACTAATCACATTGTTTTCTGCTATGTGCTGTGAGTATTTTCACCAATCATAGTTCCAGATGATGTTTCTATCTTTGTTTCGCTGAATTAAGCTTGAGTGTAGGAAACTTTTATAGGTTTAAAATATGTATTTTATCCCTACTCACTTTTATTGGTTCTGTATGTGTTGCTTGTTTCTAAAAGTAAAGTTGAACGTATTTAATGTATCAAATCTGATACAGTAAAATGAAAACGGTCATTGTGATTGTAGATTGGCCAAATAAGCCCATCTGGTGCATGGCAGCACCTGTAGGCTGGTATAACTTAACCGTCACACAAGCCAGACTTCTGGCTTTGTCCAGCGGATCTAGTTTCTCTTGCTCAGTGTGGCCAGGAACCGCCTGCTTTGACGAGAAGCAGCCATCTGACCAACGTACAGACCAATCAACCCCAGTGTTTTTTGTGAGATAGGTGTTTGTTTCCACAAGTGTGTTTTTGTTGTGGTACTGTTTTAATGAAGTGGCTCAGCAGCTATCCATCATCTAAACCGCTTATCCTTCTGGGTCGCGGTGGGGTGCTGGAGCCTATCCCAGCTGTCATTGGGCGGAAGGCAGGATACACCCTGGACAGGTCGCCAGTCCATCGCAGGGCAGACAGACAGACATACACATTCACACATTCACACACTCACTCACACCTAGGGGCAATTCAGCATGTCCAATCAGCCTAACTGCATGTCTTTGGACTGACACGGGGAGAACAGGCAAACTCCACACAGAAATGACCCTGGTCACCCAGCCGGGAATCGAACCCAGGTCATTCTTGCTGTGAGGCGACAGCGCTACCCACTGCGCCACCGTGCCGCCCTGGCTCAGCAGCTAACATCGGGAAAATCAGGATGCTGTGGAGTTCAAAACGCTTTTCACTCCTGCAAATGTTTCCCAAAAAGGCAGCAGAGCAGGCAACAGTTTGGCACTGGTAACGAGCCTTTAGATTAAGGAAAGGTACGATTTTTTTAGTGGACACTGTAATTTAATTATACATTTAAATAGCCTTCTAATTTGCTGTATAAAAAAAGCTGTGCTCTGTTACAACATTGATGCTCCTCTGGTCAAATAACCTGTTTTGTTTATCTTTTAAGAGAAAATACAGTCATATCCTCTAAACACACACTTCTGCACATTATAATGCAGTTATTGTGTATTTGCTCTTTGTTTAACTTACTGGTCAAAAAATAAAACATAATGTTGTCTGTGCAGAAGTTACGGCACATTTTATTTAATTTTATATTATATATATTTTTTAATGTTACACTCAGCAAATAAATCAATATTGTGCACTAATATTTGCTGAAAATTCCCAGAGTTAAGGGTGTTCCCTATAGAGAATGTGTTAACTTTTTTTTTCACTTAGAAAATCAACAAAACTTTGACCAGAGTCTTCAGACTTGGACTGTAAACCTTGCCTCGGACCCCCAGCGTTAAAACCCACTCCGCTGTTTCCAAATCACTCCAAAGCCTTTGGAATCAGATATTCTTATAATCCAACCAGAGTCAATTATTCTACCTTCAAAATAATTTATATTTTACATGTAAGACATTATCCAGTAATGTGTTTTTAATACATTTCTTGGCATATCACAGTTTCAGTAAGCTCTGATCTAATATTGGTACAGGTGTTTGTCCATATTTTGAAGATGTAGTGGCTAGCAGCGAATAAAGGCCAGTTTTGTCAGCAAGATTTTTTTTTTGTTGGAAGCCAGGTTATTATTGTTTGGGTGATCTGATTTAGGGCTGCATCAGCTACTTAACTTCATTATCGATAACTTTGATAATAAAGTTGTTTTATCGATTAATTGCTTTGATGACATTTCCATGTTTCGTTTACATCATGTGACTGAAAGAGGGAAATGCAGACTGCAATCAAGAGAAATGCACAACCCAGAAAATCAAAATGTATGAAAACACTTAATTGTAATGTTGTCTAAAAAGACATTTTCGTACGTAAAACCGAGCTCAGTAGGCGCAGCCGTCAGCCGTGAGTGTGAGAGAGTATAGACGGTGTTACTATGGCAGATAATCGGCAAGATGAGAGAGTAATATCTTATTAAAACCACAAGCTTTAAACGAAGCTTTAGGCATGCGAATCGGACTGTCTGATGACTGGACTGTTAGTAGTAGCAGATCTGTACTAGCACATTTCATATTGGTCTCAACTACAGAAGCGATTTAACATATTTGTTTTATTATTAGAGAAGAAATCCAGAAAAGCAGCCTATCCTGTGCTGTTGCTATGCCTTTGATAAAAGCTTCTTTTTTTTTTTTTTTTTTTCTTTTTTTTTAATGTGACACCAGATGTTTAAAATCACATAGGGTTCTCCTTTAGCAGCTGTAGCCAGTCAGCAGCCTGTCCATGTTGTCCACCCTCACACATACACACACATACAAAGACACACACACACTAACAGCAGGCCATGTAGGAGGAGAACAGAGTGAAGGACACAGCACCTCCACACTTTTACTCCCTGCAGGTTCACCCAACACCAGGGTGTAATATAAATGTGTGGGGGGTGAACAGAGTGAAGACACTGAAAATGGGTTATTTTATATGTTCTTCACAGAAAATGAGCAAAGGACAAGAATCTGAGGTTGAAATAATAATAAATCACAATTTTTTATTTTGGTAAACATTGAAAATCTGTCCCACAGACCTGAACACCACACAAGGGTTAAACATTATTGCCAGACTAATATCTCCAGGTTTCCCAACTAATCGATTAATCTAAGTCATAATGGACCAACTAATCGATTATAAAATAGTCATTAGTCCCTGCCCTAATCTGAGTAGCCACTGGACTTTGGTAAATGTTACTGGAAAATAAACTAGAATCCACTGTCTTCACCAACTTTCACCTGCTCTCCTCCTTTCATCCCTTATTTTCATGACTGTTCCTTTCACCTCTTATTTTCAGTGTTACTTTATCAGTGTTCTTGTGCCATTATTGTGTCCAGAGATCTCTAGAGCTTTACCTTTCTGTACCAGTCTGTTCTCATCTGTAATATGAAACCGAACATGAGAGGCAGCGACGGTGAGAACGTGAACCAGCTGAGCTCTTTAAAAACGGGGGAAAAGTTTCACTGATTAGTACTGAAGCTGAAAGAGAAATTCATGCACATCGGCCTTCATTCAGAAGTACGGCCTCTTTGAAGCCAAAAACTTCTTTTATTTTTCCTCTTTGGACTTCAAAGCAGAAGAAACACTGATACTCACTGAGGTCTTGTTAATGAAAAGCCTTTCTGCAATGAGCTCCCCAAGGAGACCACAGTGAAGGGCTGGTGCTGAATGCCTAAACCGTGCTGATTACTTCACTGCATCCGCATCCACACGAAGATGATGCACCACGATGATGATACCCGACAACATTTTGTTACTGGACTTGATGTTTATATTTCCATTTAGGCTGTTTGAACTGTGTTCAAAGGCTTGGCTAGGAGAGAGGTTCTCGATGCTGTTCGCTTGCATCAAAAATCATATTTACTGAAACTGAACTTTTAGGGTTTTCTCTTCTGTGCTCTTTAGTCCGTACCCCCCCCAGGTATTTGCAAGTCATCTAGCTAGTGTTCTCCTCATGATGCGTTCTCATCAGCACCAACAAGCCAGTGATGGATTAATACGAGGTCCTTAAAGGACTCGACTCATTCTCAGGCCTCTCTGGGCGGCTTTGTCGAATTCTTCGCTCATTTCATCCACAGCACTTTAGAGTTGAGGCTCAAAAAGTCGGGGTGGGGGGGCTCAGTTAACTGAGAGGCTGACGAGAGCAGCCCTGGGCAGGAAGCTCTGCAGCATGCACGGTGAATGATTAGGGACTGGGATGGTCTTCAAATACAGTAGAAGTGCTCCAGCAGAAGAGCACTTAGCATCCAAGCCCTCCCGCATGCACATGATACTCAATCAGGCTAATTGACCTCTGTGTGTTTACAGATTACTCACAGCAGCGACCTTGCTGCGGTTGGGCTTGCAATAGCAAAAGGGAGAAAAATAACAGGCCATGTCCTTCATGGTGAGACCATGTGGAAAACAGAATAGCCCTAGCCTTGCTTTCCCCCGAGCTGCTTTCAGAATGACTGTGCCCTCCAACGTCTCTTTGCTTGTCCTCTTCTTTATTTTTAGTGGTCTGGACAGCGGTCTTTTATCCAGGAACCATCATGGCCATGATGGCTGGATGCAGGAATGATGAGGGTGTTATTTTAGTGGTTTCTATTAAATGGAGTTTAAGTATCAGTGTTATGTTTAGCCTCGTTCCACAAGCAGATTCTGTTAAGTTCTAGGCTTATATGTTTTGGATTGTGTATATGTTTCCTGCTGAGTTAGTGCTTAACTGGGTAGAAACATCAAACAGATCAAAGATCTGATGTTTTTTTCTACCTCTCCTCACCTTCTGGCCAAGTAATGTTTTGAGCTGCTATTATTATTATTATTATTATTAGTAGTAGTAGTAGTAGTAGGAGTAGCAGTAGGAGTAGTGGTTTCAAAACATGGGACTTGATACCACATAGGCTAGAGGGGTCAGGAATGTTTGTATATATATATATATATATATATATATGGTGTATACTTCACCTTCTGGCCAAGCAATGTTTTGAGCTACCATTATTAGTAGTAGTAGTGGGAATAGTAGTAGGAGGAGTAGTAGATTAGTAGTAGGAGTAGTATGATTGGTAGTAGGAGTAGTAGTATTCGTAGTAGTAGGAGTAGTTGGACTAGTAGGAGGAGTAGTAGGATTAGTAGGAGGAGTAGTAGTAGCAGTGATGCTTGTTCAGAATCATTTGAACCGTTTGAGCAAAATGAATCAATTGCTCTGAACTGATTCGCAGTT